TTTATTTTGATAGTGTGTGATTTTATTGTGCAAGTCTAGGGTTGTTCAACATATTGGAGGTAAATAAATTCATAAATATGGTGGTGTTGTATCATAGGCGTTGCAACAAGACATAATCATTGTTTTCAAAGTTTTTTTCATTTCACTATAGATTAAGCACACCAGATCACGAATAAAGTCCGACCTCTGGCACGCTTGGAACAAGACTATTGCCGGATCACAGAACTGCCGGATGACAGAAATCACCTCTAAAATCCCTATGAAATCTTGCCAACTGATCTTATATATACAGTGTAACCCGGATATAAGAGAAACCCGGATATAAGAGAGATTTTCTCTGGTCCCAAATTAGAGCCTGTGTTAATGTATATAAAACAGACCAAACCCGGATATAAGAGACTTCTTCTCCATTCCCGACAACTCTCTTATATTCGGGTTACACTATATATATATCTTGCTGTGTTATCAAAAGCTAGAACAAAACTTATAATAGGAAATAAAAATTGTTCCAAATAACGTTTTTATCGTTTCATACAAAACAAAGGCTAAAAAAGTCTAAAACCAAAAATAATATATACTTACTATCCTGAATGGATAGATATGCAGCTATATATAAGAAATGAGCAAGACCGTATCACCAAAACATTCTGCTGCTGTCGGCTGCCGTGTAAAGTTGTAAACAACGTGGGACGCGGCCCCCGTGGCCACTAAACGAATTAAGGGCGGCTGATTCAAAAACGTTTTACAGGACAACGGAGTGCGGAATTAAGGAGGTCAGCTTGCATCTAAAAAAGTTGTTTAAATTTTATAAAATCCAATTGGTTTGCTATGTAAATTCGTTGTAAATTGATCCCCGTCCATACGGAAGCCGAAACAAATAAGCGCATAGGACGCACTTTCTTAAAATTTTAAAACATTAATTTAATAATTTGGAATGCTTAATCGATAATAATAATAATAATAATAATATATATATATATATATATATATATATATATATATATATATATATATAAAATCTCCATGTTATGAATAATTAAGGATGGTCTCCCTTGTTTTGTTACTCTCCTTTTTGGGAGAGATATTTCTGTTTACTGGGACTATAAAAGGACACTATACGCGAACCTTGTATTCTCAGTTGAAAAATGCTTTCTTAAAGCCTACACCTGCGTACTTTTGTCGTTACACTCCATATTACGAATATCATTTAAAAAAAAAGAAAAAGATATCTTATAAGCATATTTTGTTTTGGCTTCCTTAGGGACACCAATTTATAATGAATTTACATTTCACACTAGACCTATTAACTTTTATGGAATTAAAAAATAAATAATGTTTATTATATTCCTGATATGGATCAATAAATATTGTACAAAAATAATTGACAAACAAAATGCTTATTCCTAGGCAAATTGGTGATTATACAATTCAATTAAACTGTCATTCAATTTTACTGTTAAAATTATTATCCATAAACTAACAGGCGTCTAAAGTTGCTTTCAAAAATATTCTGCAGAGGAAGTGAATCATTTAAACATCATTGTACTATCCAGGGTCGGTGCACGGGTCTCGTGCACCACCCCCAAATCTATGATACGACTACGTTTCGATTTTCATATGGTAGTATTTATATAAAATATAAATTTTATTGTCACTTAATTATGTACAATAATAGATCATCTGCAATATAGATGAACTATAACTTTTCAACTAGAAAAAATTGAAAATAAATACAATCTATCTAAATACAAATTAGAGACACGTCATAATAGATCATTCCATCTTAAATAAATCAACAATGTTTTGCGGCAATTTTTAAACATCAACTTGACATTTTTCTTGTTGAAAAGTTGAAGAATTTTAACACTTTCACCAAAAAAAAAAAAAAAAAAAATAGTGAATTTTATATTGTGTTTTTTCGAGACTTAGCATGAACAAAAGAAATTCACGGATTTGAAAGAAAAAAAAAGACCTCTGAATGATGTCAAAATCAGAGAATTTTTTTCATCTTTTAATAGCCACATGTGTTTAGTTTAATTTTTAATGTATATAAATGGAGGTAGAAAAAAAGCAAAGGTTGATAAGACAGCGGGGGTTACAAAGCCCTTATCAAAGGGGTTCGGGAGCAGTACGCACCGGTAGAACGTCTGACGAGAGCACTTCTCTGCGGCTGCTCGGTCTCACGTTGACTGCTGACCTGAGATGGAATAAATACATTGAGTCAATTGCTTCGTCCACCGCAAGGAAAGTTGGCTCTCTCTGCCGCGCCAGGAAATTTTTCTCCCCGGAATCGATCCTCCAGATCTACAAATCAACAATTCGCCCTTGCATGGAGTATTGCTGTCATATATGGTCTGGTGCCCCTTCTGTTTGCCTCGGGGTTCTTGATTGGCTCCAGAGGCGGATATGCAATATAATTGGCCCTGTTCTGGCATATCGTCTACAGTCGCTCTCTCACAGACGCGCCGTCGCCTCCCTGTTTTACAAATACTTTCATGGTAATTGCTCCGAGGAGCTGCATTCGCTGGTTTCCAGACTTCATGAATTCAAGCGCCCTACGAGGCTGGCATCTCGCTCTCACCCTTTCACTGTTGAAACTACTAAATGTAGCCGTCTCTTCTACTTCAATAGCTTCGTGTCTCGCATCTCTCGCCTGTGGAACTCCCTTCCCTATTCCAGTTTCCCAGAGAGCTATAATCTCCAACTCTTCAAATATAATGTCAATCGACATCTCCAGTTGCCTTGATCTATCCACTATCCTTCTCCTCATCCTTTCCTCTATCACTCCTATCTGATCTTGCCCAAATCTTCTGTAACTCCTTGCGTCCTAGTGGCTTCCCGCCTTGCTTGGGGTGAAAAACTTAAAAAAAGTATCTGGTGGTATATCTGAAACCCCGACTACTGAGTTCAAAACTTGGTGGTTCCTCACCTATCTCTCATGCGACGCAAAGTTTAGTAAATATTTCTTCTGCATTTTCAATGAATAGTGGCTGCTCCACACTAGTGACCTTTTGTTATACTATTTTTTTCGTTTATTTACTATAAAAAAAATCAATCTTTTCTGGAGTGCTTATTGGCACCTCATGGTTTTGTAATGGTTAGCAATAATATATGAATGAAAAAATTTCAGATTACCAAGTTCATTTTTCTTTTATAACATTTAATAATTTCTTTTTCCTTTTTGATATTCAGGATCGAAAGGGTTTAACCTAGAGCAGAGGTCACCAAACTAGGGCCCGCGATGTCAGTTCATCTGGCCCGCCGCCGCACTTTGCCACAAATGAACTAAGATATAATTATTTATATAGAATTATCCAATAGATTTTATTGTAATAAAAATGACAAAATTTGGCCAATCTGATTTTTGCATCTGATAGTAATATAAGTTTTCAGAAATAAAAAAATTCAGCGACTTTTGATATCCAGGAGTTCTGTGTAAGTGCCTGCAATGAAGTTTCTAAGAAAAGTGATTATTATGAGCCTGCTGTATCAATTGAGTTTTAACTTGCATTGCCGTGTCTAAACCGGTTCCAAGAGTGCTTATATAAAAAGAACTGACTTCAGCGAACTAAATCATACATTTTGACTGAAATCATAAAATTTAAATAGATAACAAATAAACGCAAAAATTAATAATGATTAATTAAAAAAAATTGTCTTCATACTCGAACCCCCACATTTACAAAACAAAAATCAACAAAATCATACATTAGATTTTGAATTGCGAACCCCTTTATATTTCAGGCTTTACCTTAGGGACCCCCTTATAAACGCTTATGACATTTATACATAAATATTGACTCAATATAACATAAAAATTCAGAGCTTACTTGCTTACTCGTCTTGTACTTCTCCACGCAAAATGTCTCCCTTTTGAAGATTTGCACACGTGACGCCTAACAGCCAATGAGAAAGCCGGAAATCGCAAAATAGATCCAAAATTCAAATCCTTTGCTTCCTTCTCTGCATGAATAGAATCCATTATCTTTATCCATTTAAGAAACAAATTATATTAGTATATCAAATCTATGAAATCGTTTATTGAATCAATTTATTTCATGATCGGCCTATAAGTTACTTATAAGCGCTTATAAGTTGCACGTGACCCATAAAAAAATGTTTGCTGTCCAAGGACCCCCTATCTTGTCCTTGGACCACAGTTTGAAAACCCCTGCATTAGATGATTCTAAACTCTTACTCAACTAAAAAAAAAAAAAATCATGAATAAGAGATAAAATTAATCAGCGTATTGTATTGAACAAAATGCTTATCCGGGGGCGTTCGTCATTCTCTCAGTTATTTATGGGAAAAATGTTTGGTGACCCCTAATCTAGAGTGATATGAAAAAAAACAAAAAACACACACACACACACAAAAAAAAAAACAGTATATTTCTGGTCCTAGTGACGAATGTATAAATCTGCTGCAAATATATATATCAGAGCATATTTGTTTTTAATTTCAGATAAAGATTAACAATAGTGAGAAGAAACATCATCATTTTAAAGGAGAAACTGGTTACTGAGTGTTGGAAAGACAATGTTGGAAAGACGTTGAGAAAAAAGCGAGTATAAATATATCCACACGTTATTAAAATCAATCTTATTCTAAATATGCCGACTTGAATAATAAAATCAGGGAGGGTGTAAAAGCAGAATAAAAATAAAAATCGGAAATATTTTCGAAAGAGAGAGAAAGGATGAACAAAAAAATAAAGAAAAAGAAAGGAGCAAAGAAAAAGAATGGGAAAAAAAAGGCGAGGAAGAAGAAAGATCGAGAGTGAAAGAATGAAACGAATAAAGAGGGCGAACGAAATGGAAAAGAAAGACAAAGAAAAGGTAAGGAAATAGATAAAAACTGCAGGAAAGAAAACGAAAAAAAAAATAATACTACCTGCAAAAAGATGAACAAAAAAGCAGTAAAGGAGAAAGAGAGTGAACAAATTTTAAAGTTAAACAAAGAATGGCGTGAAAGAAAGAAAGAAAGAAACAAG